CTAGAAATATAATAGATGTACAAACAGAATAATAGAAGAAGAAAATAAATTGAAATTGAGCAAATTCAGATTGTTGGTCATAAACCGATAGCAAGAAATTGAAATTTATTGAGAATACAATATTGAATTTCTGGAAAACTCATTTCTCTGCAAGTTCTAAAATATTACTGCAAAAATATCGACGATTGTTCACTTCTTCTTCTTTTTCCTTTGCTCAATTACATATTCTAGTCTTCTTTTTTTCTGATGTAATTTGAAATAGAATTTTTCTAATTTACCTTATTGCATGATTGTGAAAAAATTATTGTGAAATTTGAACACTCTCGATTTGACATGTTTTTCAGCGAATTACTTACGCGATCGATTTACTGCCAATGATAATTTGACAGATGTACTTTTCTCACAAAATAGAGCTGTCTATAGAAAAGCAACTCAAGCGCATTTTCTTTTCTTCTTTTCGCTGAAACTTTATTTTAGGATACGTTTTTGTAAGATGATTTTTAACGAATTTTTATTGATTATAATTGTTTTATTGCCACATTCTCTGGTGTATATAATGTTTTAAAATTGTTTTATACGCAGTAAATAATAATATTACTTTATTATGTTCCAAAGTGAGTAATTAAATCTAAGATATTTTTTATGAGATATTTTCATATTGTAAATAATTATATGATTATAAATAAATATCATTTAAAGACACGTCTACTACCAAATTGTCATATTAATTATTCTTTATTAAATATATATTTGCTTTTCATATCTTCTATTTTTTTATCACATATATAATGTAATACTAAAAATTATATACTAAAATTTGAAATATTATATGTATAAAAATACTAAGAAAATATTAACAATTATGAATTATTTTGAAATAGTATTTAACTCTGTATTGATATAGAAAATGCTTGAAAGAAATAATTATTAAACATGAAAAAAATGTAAAATAATTGTTTATTTTAAATATGTATCTAAAGTACATATATATAATCTCGAAATCTCTGCAATGAAAAGGTGAATTAATATTTGATGGATTAATATTTTGAAATGATTTTATTTTTCTTTTATTTTTGGATACTAAAAACTTCTATACATAACAAATTATATATTTAAAAAGTAGAATTTTATATTTTTTTTTGCTACATACGAAGAGTACTCATTCTTCTTTAAATATATTTTATCGTGCTTGGTTATTCACTGCATAGATAACATGACAGTAAAATAAGATATTGAAGCCTTTACTAACTGTAATAAAAATTATTCTCTCTTATGCTATCCATCTATAATATAATATATTAAATTTGTATTTAAGAAAATGCCATTTTTTTATTACCGTAGCAAAACATTCAATAGATGAAACAAATATTCCACCGACGGTTATAGTAAAATCTTTGGCGCCTTTTAGCAATAGGAAGAGTATCATTTTTTGAATATGTAAAGGAGCTATATACCATTGAACATTATATCTGTGAAATTATGGAAAAAAGATCAATGTTTTGAAAAAAAAGATTGGAAAGTTTTTAATTAATTTTCATTATTTTATTTTGATTGTAATAATAATAATAATGTTAAATGTTTTTACTTTCAATTTGGAAATCTACAAAATGAACTATCATGTAATAATATCTCACAAGAAATTTTCTTACGCAGTAGTAAATACTTGATTATTATGATCCAAAATATTTTGTCCAAATAAATTGCATATAAATAAATATAAAATATTAATAATTATAAATATAACAGGAAATACAGCTTCTATAATAGCTTCTTCAGATGACATAATTTGAAAAATCTACAATATAAATTTCAAAAATAAAATCAGTTTTTATGTTCTAACGATTCTTATCTTATTTTATGTTTTCCTTTTACACACCAAAAATTAGAATTAATTTATATATTTTTTATACAAAATTGTTATTGAATATTGACTAATTTAGAGCATCAGTAATAATATCAGTAAAAATTCTTTTTTAGTACGAAGTTATATTAGAAAATGTACTTAATACTGAAAAGAAATAAAGTTAAATTTAAAATCTAAAACTTACCCGAAGAAAATTGAAACATAAAGAAATGACAAAGACTGCTGTTAAACTCAAAAACATTAGCTCAAATTGAGTCACCAAATATTTGGATAATCTTTAAAAACAAAAAATGTTATCGTACATGTATGTGCGTGCGTGCGTGCGTGCGTGCGTGGATATATAGTAACCTCATAGCTTGCCGATGAATTTCTACAGCATACATTAAATCCTTAGATCTTGAAATTTTATTTTTTAGAGTAATATTTTGCAAATTATTATTATTTATTGCACGTTCAATACGATAACTGAAAATGATATACTAAATAGAGTATTTTTGTTAAAAAGTAAACTTTAACTTTATTAATGTTAAAATTAATGGTATATAAATTAATTTCGTTTAAAAGCATGAACATATAGTTTAATTAAAAATTATAATAAAATTAAATTAAATTAAAAGTTAAGTTTAAAAAGAATTATACATACATCTAAAAAATTAAAATGTAATTTGTCGTAATTAGATTACTTTAAATGATAAAACAATTACAATATGAATGGAATTTATTCGAATGTATTTAATATTTTCTTAAATTAAATTTGAAACATAACAAAAAAATTATAATTTTTTTGTATAGAAATATATTTTTTTCTTTACATAATTATAAAAACTTAACTAAAAATAATTGTAACTAATAATAATTGTATGATATCCAGATAAAATAAATATTTTTTTTTATTCAAATAGATAATATATTTTAAAACATAATTAGTTGAAATTAAAAATTTATTTAAACTCATTTAAAATTAACTTAAATTAAATTAAGTTAAAAATTAATAATTTTTTAATTTTATTAATTAACTTTTGATTAATTAAATAATTAAATAATATATTATCGAATTTTGAACAATATATATGAAAAAAGTAAGACAACTCATAAAATTTAGTTTTATGTTTATAAATGTTTTGTATTTGTTTCAAACCTGGAAATTTTAAACATTCCAAAAATAAACTGAAGATTCCCAATAAGCATTGTTCCTGTTGCTATTGTTGCAATCGTTCCTATACAGAATGCTGTATTTATGTGCAATAAAATAAAGACAAAGTATTTTTCTTGATCGACAAAATATTCCGTTATGAATATCATTCGTGATTGAGATATATTTATTGATAAAGTAACATCAAATATATTTGATAAATATGGACTAATAGAAATAATACACATTCCACAAATGCCACTTGCTATAAGTGTAATTTTTATTGAAATTTCTGCTATTTAATTTTTCAAAATATTTTATATGCACATATATTTATTATAAAATATTGTAACTTTTATTACATTTGCTAGAATAGAATATTATTAAAGGATAAGTGCATTTCTAAAAATCCAAAAGTATTATCTTACCTGTAAGTAAAACCGTATAACGTTTCGCAACATAGTTGTATTTTCTTATAATTGCGATTTCATTTTTATCCGTTAAGTCATTATACACATATTGAAGTTGCGTTAATAAATTTTTTACCTGTTCCAATAATTCTTTATATTGTCTTTATATATATCAAAATATATTTTTAAATATTTATTTGCTAGGGAGGTTTGTTCTATTTCACGAATTTATCGTACATTTGCAACTTACAATTTTAATATTGATACAGAATGAATTGTAATGTATCATATAAATAGTAAACAAAGATGCGGAAGACACGACCTTGGCGATAAGATCAAAAGTACATTTTAAAGTTATAAATGATGTTAACTGTAAATAGTAATTTTGTTTAATTTTATTTATGGTTATTCTATATACAGGATTTATTCAGTAATATTCGTATATAAATAGAGCAGATCAAATCGTATAGAAAAGTATTTTATTATTTTATTATTTTACTACTAATTTTCATAATTAGTAATTAGTTGTTAATTAATAAAATTGTCACGAAAAAACATTATTTGATCCCATTGGCAAATGCAAGTGCACAGTGAGGTACGACCACCCAGCATTACATGTATTTGCATTGTGAAGAGCGCAAGATTTAGACATAAGATTTACAAATGATACAGCATCTATTTACAATGCACTCTTCTATACAATTTGTCGCGCTTCTAGCAACCATAAACGTTCATGATGCTGGATTATATTTTGCCATACGCTTGCATTTGCTGATGAGCCGAGTGGATATTCGAAAATTTTTATTAATCAACAATTTCTTACTAATTGCAAAAATGATAAAATGGTAGAGAACTTTTCCATTTAATTTGATCTGTTCTACTTACACACGAGTATTGTCACTTGAATTATCGGACATCCAGTATATAATTACAATATTTTTTTTTAACATATAATATATTTAACATATAATATATTTTATAAATAACTATATCACTATATAATGCAAGCAGAACTTAGTTGATAGTATTAGATTATTATGTGATAATTTTTAACAGTATCATTATATACTTACTTGAAATATAATACTCGCTGTCAGAATACTAGAGAGAAAAATAAACTGAAATCGAGTGAATTTGGATTGTTGGTAGGGCCACAATCCAATAGCGAGCAACAAAATTTTATTAAGATTAAAATACTGAACTTCTAGACGTATCATTTCTTTATGTACTTTAAAATATTACTGCAAAGACATGAACGAAAGACCTTTCTTTTTTTATTAATCGATTAAATGAACTATATTTTCGCTTTTTTAAACATCAATTTCAATAAACTCCTTAATTGATTATAATACTTTGTTATGCGAAAATTCCATAAAATTGGTCACTCTCAATTTTACAAATTTCTTAAAGAATTGCATACTATTTTTTATAATAACGCAATTTACGCGATCGATTTGCCGCTAAGAGTTATACGATGAATGCGTTTTTTCTCCCGTGAAGTCAGACTATATTTGCAAAAAGTCACGCAAGCGTGTTTTCTTCCATTTAATTTTAAAACTTCATTCTACTAACCGCATTTGTAAATCGATAATCTTGGTAAAAAAACTATCTTTTTAAAAAAAATATCTTTCAACTTCAATCTTTTTAATACTGGAATTACTTGGTACAATTTATAGTTTAAATATGATTACATCAATCTGTGTTTATGAATTTTAATTAATGCCAAAAATTAATATTTTTAGAAAATGTTAAGTATTGACGGATACTGTCAGTTATTAATATTATTCTATTTATCGTTTAATGATTATACTTTTATGTTTTAATTTATTGTTATTAATTATTAAATGTTATAATTTTTAATTAAAATTGTTTAATTATTAAATTATTTAAGAGAATGTCTAACATATTGAGATAAGAAATCATGTGTAGAAAAAATTGTTTTTGAAAGAGCAATAAAAAATAATAAAAAAGTTTATATATTAATATATAAATTTATATATTTATATATTTAAATTTTTATATTTGAAATATATCGTGTATAATACTTGATTTCGATACCATATATCTGCTATATAACAATTGCAACATCTTGATATAAATAAAAATATATTTTTTATGTCTTTTTTAATAATAAAATGTTTCTAGTTAAACTACGTGTATAAAGTTAATCTTTTTATTTTTAAAATGAGAATATTGAATATTTCTTCTATGAAATCATAATGTTATTATATTTATTTTTAATTTGTTATTATATAAAATATAGTACAGTAAAATAAATCACCAAAGTTTTTACTAGTTGCAATTAAAAAATTCATCTTTTCTGCATTTGCGTTTGCGTTATATTATTAAAATATTCTACATAATCTTACTACTGATAAAATATTTAATGATTGCCTTAAAAATAATACATGAAATAATACATTCATGAAATAATACATTCAAAGTAAATTCCTTGCTCATAGTATAATATCACAAGATATAATGCAAGACTATACATAATATCACACATTCGTTCATATTTTATGTTTCAATATTTCATGCATAAATATATGATTAAGACATCGATAATATTAAAAAAATGAATATCTTACTTAAAAAAATATATATATATATATTTAAGAGAGAGAAAAGTCACGCCAAGCGATCATTCCTTTTTTTACCTTTTTATTCCTTTTTTTTTTCAATGCAGCAATTTTATTCTTGCCCGCGTTCTCACAAGATACATTTGGTTTATAATCCATGAAAGAAATTTAACTTTAAGTTCAAGTGTTACATTAATTTAATATATACAAATCATTTTAATAAATGAAAAACAGATAATTAACATATTTAATGATATTTTTATATTTGTATTAATAATTGACGTGTGCTTAATCATTGACCAGTGCTTACCATTAATATATTAAATATTAATATATCAATTATTTAGTTATTATTGATAACATTATTTTTTATTAAATATATTCTTTTTTTATTTATCTTTAATATATTCTTAGCATATATTTAACATTGAAAAATTTTAATGTTATTATTTAAAACCTATAAATTTATTAAAATGTATCGAATTATTTATTTTAGAATTTTCAACTAGTTTTGCTGGTATATTATATATAATAAAAAAACATCAACATAGAATAATTAAATTTGTTTATATTATTTATGTTTGATATATCTAAGACAGTACCTAATTTTGGACACGTGCAGTACCTAAATTTACAAAAATTTGATGTAGTAATGGATTTGGATTCAATTCTTTTGATTTTCTGTGTCTTTTAAATAACAAAATCTTAGAAACTAGATTATGTAATCAGAATAGAATTTTCTATTTTCTACATATGAAAAATACTACTTTCCTTTTATTAAATACTTGTTTTTTATATATTCTTATTCTGTTTATATTTGTTTCATCATTGTGTAGATAGTATGACAGTAAAGTAAGATACAGAAGCCTTCATCAACTGCAAGCAAGGACATTACCATTGTTCATTTAATATAACATTTAATATAATATATTGTAGCTTTGTTTTCTTACCATGGCAAAGCACTCCAAAGATGGAAAAAAAAATCCTCCGACATTCATAATGAAATCTTTAGTGCCTTTTTGCAATAGGAAGAGTAACATTTTCTGAATGCCTATAGGAGTTACGTACCATTGAACTTTGTATCTACAAAATTATAAAAATCAAATTAGTAAGAAAAAAATCTTCAAACAAATAATTTTAATAATTTTACATTAATTATAATAGTATTGATATAATATATATTTGTTTATTTTTTATTAAAAAAATGTATATTTCTTCCAATTATATGTTGTAACAAAAGTTCTTACACAGTAGCAAATACATAAGCATTGTGATCTGTAATATCTTGTCCAATAGAATTGGCTAGGAATAGATATATGATATTAGCACCTACAATTATTATAGGTAAATAAACTTCTTTACTAGTTTTCTCAGACGACAAATTCTGAAAAATCTAAGATATGGATTTCATGACTGTAATTGATTTTTTAATATTTTAATTACCATAATTGTCATTTTACAATACACTTCTTTTAGTAGAAGTTAAAATGTTTGAAATTGATTAAACTATTAAATGAATTTAATTAATAAATAATGTGAATAAAAATATTATATTTACCATAAGTTATTCTAACATATATTATAAAATACGTAATGTTGGTTATATTTATAGAAATAAATATAGAATACTAATTGTTTACATTTATAGAAATTAATTTGAAAATATAAACATACTTGAACAAAATTGCAACATAATGAAATAACAAAGACCTCTGCTAAACAGAAGAACATTATATTAAATTTGATTAGCATGCGCTTGGTTAATCTACAGAAATAATATAAATATTATTGCATATATATATATATATATATATATATATATATATATATATGTATATATATATATATATATATATATATATATATATAGTATCATCATAATAATATAAAATATTAACTTTAAATATTAACTTTATAGCTTGCCGATGAATTTGTACAGCAGATATTAAATTTTCGGATCTTGAAATTTTGCTTTTAGAAGTAAAATTGTGTAGAATATTGATCTTTATTGCACATTCAATACGATAACTGCAATTAATAAAAATTTTTACATATTTATTTTTGCAACGTAAGCTTTATCTTTATATATGTTTTAAAAAATAATAGTTTTACTTCCAATTCATATCTTATAATCATTTTAAATTTATTATAATACCTGGAAACTTTGAATATTCCACAGATAAGTGCAAAATACGCATGAAAAGTTGTCCCTATTGCTATTAATGCTGTTATTCCTATCAATACTGCTATGTTTATTTGTAATATAATGAAAGAAAAATATTGTTCCTGATCAAAAAAATATTCTATTATAAGTTCCACATAATGTAGTCGAGATACGTTCATCATTAAAAAAATATCAGGCATAGTAAGCCAAGATTGAGAGATAATATAAATAAATACTCCGCAAACACTAATTGCTAAAAAGCATTAGAAAATAATTATTATTATTTAAATCTTTTTTGTACAATCTTTTACAATTATTTTATATTATTAATTTATAATAACTCATATTTATACATATCAGAAAATTTTAAGATGCTTTTAGTTTAATCATCATCTATTGTACAGTTAATAAGTATTACCAGATATTTTATTCAATTAAGAAATTATTAATTATTTGAATAACTATTAGTTATTTTAATTTTTCTAATTATTTTAATATATTGTGTCAATTATAAACACACATAAAATAAATATATAATGAATATATTAATGGATTCAAATTGTATACTTATATAAAAGCATATATACAATATATATAGAGAATTTGTATATATAGAGAATGATAAAATTGATTTTAATCTATTAAAATATTAGTATTAAAATATTAGTTTATTCATTAAATAAAAAGTTGCTCGTAAAAATAGAAAAATGTCACCTTACTTATAAGTGCAAGCGTATAACGTTTTGCTACGTATCCATATTCTTCTATGATAGCAATTTCATTTTTATCTTTCAATTCATTACATATATCTTGAAGTTTTATTAACAACTTTTTCACCTGGTATTTTCAATAACTTTTCATGCTGTCTTTACATATAGCGATATTAAAAAATATTTTTAATAGGAAACTCAATATATTTTTATATATATATTAAAAAAAAACACCTAGTGAATAACTTTACATGCTATCTTTATATATATTAAAAACATTTTTAATATCAAAATTTATTTGACTGATAACTTGTAGACTATTAACTTACGGCTTTGATGTTAACACGAAAAGCGCAATATTTTATTAAAAGAATAATAAAAAAAGATGCGGTAGATACAATCGTAATAACAAGTTTTCCAGTACATTTGAATGTTATAAATGGTGTCATCTGTAATTATTTGTAATATAAGTCATTTCACTAATGTAAAAATGATATATATTGATAATAAAAGATTGTTATGTTTTAAGTTAATTTACATCTGTGTATATATGTGTGTTCACGATATTGAAAAAGAAAATATAATATATAATATAGTAATAATAACATATATATATATATATAATGTTATATTGTTATATTATATTTTCTTACCATAAATATAATGCATGTCGATAAAATACCAAAAAGGAAAATAAATTGGCATTGTGTGAATTTGGATTGTTGATAGGGCCACAAACCAATAGCGAGCAGTAGAATTCTATTGAGACTGAAATATTGAGTTTTTAAACATATCATTACTGAATTTAGTCCAAAACATTACTGAGCTAAATTGAATGGTTGCATGAAAGTGGACAAAGTTTCATTCACCCCTTCTTTTCCTCCTTCATTATTATTGATCGGTTAGTAGATATTTTCTTTAACAAATTTGTACATAAGTATCATAAATTGTATAAGTATATACATTATATAATACAAGATTATATATAATACCACTGTGACATCAAGGTTTCATTCATATTTCAGGCAATAAGATGATAATAAAAACATTGATCTGATATTAAAAAAATGAAAAGTTTTCTTTTAAAGAAAAAGCTATTTAAGAGAGAAACAGTTACATATGCATATTTTCTTTTTAAATGCAGCAATTTCATTCTTATCCGCGTTTTCACAGATACATTTGATCTATGAAAACAATATATTTTATCTTTAATTTGTATACTAATAAATTTAATTGATAAAACTTATGTTATTTTAATGGCTAATTACATCAATAATATTCTTCTTATATGATATTTTTGTATATATCTGAATTGATTATTCATATTAAAAGTCAACATATTAATTATGAAGTTGACGTTAATAATATTATTTTCTATAAAATATATTCTTGTTTTCTTTAACTGTATTTTTTTAACACAAAATTATTTAATACTGAAAAATTTAAATCTTTTTACTATATCGACATATTAAAATGTATAAAAAAAAATTATTTATTTGAGAGTAATATTCAACTCGTATTATCACATGGACTATATATGTTAAACTTAATATTTTTCATAATCACATAGAATAACTAAATCTGTTTTATTATTTACATCTAATGTATACCATATACAGTATTCTATCTTTAATGCTCTTATGAGACTTTGATATTTGAACGAATCGTACTGAGTATTTTTAATTCTATAACTTTTTAACTCTCCTTTTCTACTACAGATATTATGGATACATCATTGAAAATTACTCTTTATTGCTTGTTTTTTATGGATATTGCTTACTTATGCATATGCTTACTTATGCATATATGTTTACGATAGCACATAGTAGACATCATATGCATATAAAGAAATATATAGAAATTCAATAGAGAAATGAAAGCAGATTATCCAATATTATTGTGTTTTTAATATAGGACAAAAAATTTAGTATGTTCGTCAAATATAACTGTTGAAGCGTGCTGTACAGTGGAAGGGTTAGTATAGCAAAACTTCAAGCTAAATTACATAATATATTGAAAATAAAATTTTCTACCTGCTAAATACACAAAATATTGCTTTATCTTCTTTAAATACATTGTTTTTATTTAATATTTGATTTCATACTTGTCTCGTCATTGTGTAGATAGTATAACAGTGAAATAAGATACTGAAGCCTTTACCAACTGCATTTAAAAATATCAGTTGTATTCATTTGGAATATATTGCATTATATAAGATGTTTAAAACGATATGATCAATTATTTTGAAAATAAAGCATTTTCGAGAAAAATGTTTTAAAATAAAGTTGTAAAATTCGAGGAAGACTTGTGATTATAATATGGATTCATTCACAGATAAAGCTACTATCGATATCTTTTATAGTTGCCCTATTTTTTAATAAAATCATAATTATAATCATATAGTCTCCCTTGAAACCATACAACTTTATCTTGAAATATTCGTTTGCCTTATTTTTAAAATGTTTTATTTTTAAAATAAAGCACTTTATTACTATGTTATTTAAAAATGAACATAAGCAAATATTTCATCATCTTACTGTGGCAAAGCACTCTAAAGATGGAACAAATAATCCACCGACATTCATAGTGAAATCTTTGGCGCCTTTTTGCAATAGAAAGAGTAACATTTTTTGGATGGATATCGGAGTTATGTACCATTCAACTTTATATCTATAAAAAACAGAGTATATAGGTTTATATATATAATATATAATATATATATATATATATATATATAATATACTTATTATTATT